TCCTGGCTAACAATTCCAGAGCAGGGAGACTCCCAGAAAGGAGATAAGAGCCCAAGTATCCAAGAGAGTGAGAGTCAACCGAGAACAAGATGAACCCAAGACAGGTGCAACCCAGAGAGAGAGAGGGCACTTCTGGACAGACCCTCATCTATATACTGGGCACGATGTGCATGATATGGAATATACCACTGGCTAATATGGGCCTCAATCCTTAAACTAAAGTTGAATCCTAGGCTAGTGATTGGGGCTGTGCTCCCTCCCAGCTTCTCCTGCCCCTGCAGACACTGGCACAGCAGAGAAGCTGAAAAGTCCTTGACTGTCCTGGCAGCAATTATAAACATCAGCACATTATCAGCCTTCTCCTCAGCACAAATCCAAAACACAGCCTCACACTAGCTACTATGAAGAAAGTTAACTCTGTCCCAGCGGAGACCAGGACAACACAGTAAATGAAACACCCCCTCTAAAGGAGAAATATGCAAATACAAACTACAGTGTTTCCCAGGACACAGAGCCCAGTGTCTGAGTGCAAGAAGTTCAGTGTATTACTTTCCTTCAAATCTACTAGCCTTTGCTTAAGTTGTACTTGTTTCTACTACTATATTTACATCCCACAGTCAGAAACTTTCATACATTCTACAGAACTTTACATCAGCATAATCTTGAAGCATGTCAAGTTCAGTTAGGAAATGCTGTACATACCTCTTCTGTATACAAATACTAGGAATCCTACAACTGGAATTAAGAGAACAAAAGACACAATCAGACCGGCTCTGCTTCTTTTGTGATAGATGTCTCCTTTAAAAAATAAAATAAATTATGGGTTAGTTAAAAAGCTGATACCTGCGTAGTATTAGTTCAGTAGAAATACAACCTTGACTATGTTTTATAGCTAATTGTTTTTAAACAAGTAACCTCAAGAAAGTAATGCACCAGTCAGTTATTAGCAAAACCCTAAGCCAACTCCAGGAAAGTTACATGGCAAATACCTTAGTTCAGTGAAGGCACATCAACACTTGAAAGGCTATGGCTATTTTTTTTTTTTTTTTTTTTTGCCTATGAATGGCTGAGCCAGATCTCAGCCAAATGAAATTTCAGCAAATGCCTTGTTGTCGTGAGTTAAGCGTTTGCATGGCAAGGTTTTGGTAGCAGAGGGACTGCAGGGGTGGCTTCTGTGAGAAGGTGCTAGAAGCCTCCCCTATGCTGACAGAGCCAATGCCAGCCAGCTCCAAGATGAACCTGCTGCTGGCCAAGGCTGAGCCTATCAGAGATGGTGGCAGCGCCTCTGTGGTAATGTATTTAAAAAGGGTAAAAACTGCTGCACAACAGCAGCTGGGAGAGAAGAGTGAGAATATGTGGGGGAAACAACTCTGCAGACACCAAGGTCAGTGAAGGAGGAGGGGGAAAAGGTGCTCCAGGCTCTGGAGCACAGATTCCCCTGCACCTGTGGAGCAGCCCATGGTGAGACAGCTGTGCAGAGGCTGTGACCCCATGGGAAGCCCACACTGGAGCAGGTCCCTGGCAGGACCTGTGGAGAGAGGAGCCCATGCTGGAGCTGGTTTTTTGGTGGGACTTACGATCCTGGGGGGGACCCACAATGGAGCAGTTCATGAACAACTGCAGCCTGTGGGAAGGATCCATGTTGAAGTTTGTGAAGGACTGTCTCCTGTGGGTGGTACCCCACGCTGGAGCAGGGGAAGAGTGTGAGGAAGGAGTGGCAGAGAAAATGTCTGATGAACTGACCACAACTCCTATTCCCTATCCCTGTGTGCTGCTCAGGAGGAGGAGGTGGAGAAACTGGGAGTGAAATTGAGCCTAGGAAGAAGAGAGAGGTGGGGGAAAGATGTTTTAGGTTTGTTCTTGTTTCTCATTATCCTACTCTGATTTTGATTGGCAATAAATTAAATTAATTTTCCACAAGTCAAGTCTGTTTTGCCCGTGAGGGTAATTGCTGAGTCATGTCCCTGTCCTTATCTCAGCCCATGAGGCTTTTGTCATACTGCCTCCCTCCTGTCCATTTGAGCAGGGGGAGTGATGATAGAGCAGCTTGATGGGCACCTGGCAGCCAAACAAGATCAACCCACAACATGCCTCATTTCTAACAAGTCTCTAACATGTAATTCCAGTGAAGGAGGAAGAATGTTATACTGGTAAACCATGAAAATGACTTTTGCACAGAAGTGGGAAATTTTGTCAGTTAGGGACTGCCTTACACACCCTACAAACCAGATGGTTCCAAATGTGTTCTGAACCTCTGTATACTCAAAAAAAAAAAAAAAAAAAAGCAAGCCTCAAGCTGATCTGAAGCTCAGCTGAGGCTGTCCCAAAGAAACAAGCAACAGCAGGAAAATTCTCTTTTCACCTTTTTATATCTATCTGTGAAGGAGGAAAAGAAGTATGCTCATTGACTCACGCACACACTAGATGAGCAATTATTTTATCTAATGGTTACTAGAAGACTCACTTGAAATGACTCAAGTTTCATTCCATTTCATGGAAAGCAGTACAAAGAGCACAACAGTCATTAGCAATAATTACACAATGCCAGAAGCTTCAGAAGAGATCTTCTAAGAGTGTCTCCCTCTTTATTATTACTCATTTCAAGTCACAGCTGAAGGTTTTATCCTGTCGAGATCCCTGCAAAAAGTATGTTTCCGGGGTGATCAAACTGTCAGTCTCACACCTTTCACCAACCTTAAACACACTTTTAGGAGAAAAATAAATTCTGATGCTTTTTACTCTTTAAATTCAACTTCCTGAGAAGTCAGAAGAAATCTTACAGTCAAAAGTCCATGCTGCTTCCCAACCTAGCCTCTCAGGCTTGCATATACAACCTGACCCATTCATTACCTTTTTTATCTGGAAAGCATTGAGTCAAAGAGATTTCAGAGCTCTTTTCCGTTTGAGAGAATTTAATGAAACACGCAGCTTTCTCAAAAGCATCAACATTCTTCTTAGCGATGAAAATTTCCTGGTTCTGAGAAGTGGTTGTTAGGCTACTGAACTTCCAAGAGTAATTCAGAGGCTTCTGGAAATCTGCTGTACATTTTAACACAAGGTGATCACCACTGATGTTGCAACTTATTTCAGGTTCTGAAGGGGGAGCTAAAAGGAGAGAAAACATTCTGTATTACTTTGCTTATAAACTGCCTTGAATTTTAGCACGGGACAAGGGCTGGAACAACAAAAGCAGCAGGAGAGTGCATACATAGAAGTGTACATGTAAGGTGCACGTGTGTGTGTGTCCGCACATGTGCTTGAGAGAAAAACATATTTCTGAAAGTGTCCCTGTTTGTAGTTCTTCAACACCTAGTTTGAGACTCTGCATGGTTCACTGTCAATAGGACTAATATACACACTGGTCAAATATATTTCCCAAAGATGACTAGTGAAGCTGCGTAGTTCTGCGCAGGATGATGCCACAGATATTCAAGCACATATAATTTGCCTGCAGGAGCATCTTTAGTAGATACATAATGCCTGGGGTCACTTGGTAAGCTTACTCAAAGAGTTTGGTTATCCACCTGAAAGTACACAGCATGCCACCTACACAGATTCAAGAAGTCACTCCAAGGTGAGTAATGATGGGCACACAAATTAGGCGCCACCTTTAAAATTTGTTTCAAGTGCCTAAGCAACATAAAAATAGAGCCAAAGAACAGTTCCCCTCCATTTCTCTCTGCTTCTCTGACAAATAAACAATCCCCTTTCTAGCGTTCTTAAAATGAATAAAGTGGTGCAAATTCTTTGTGCAGTTCTTCCACTACTTACCTAACACAGCAAGTATGAAGGTTAAGAGACGACTTTTTTTCATAGAATCAATGTATTCTAATACATATGTGCCAGCATCATTGTCCTCTAATTTAAATATAGTCAAGCGTCCATTCTCTTTGTTAAGCAAGCCTCTGTTACGGAGAGAGGGATAATATGTTGTTTCGTTTTGTCCTTCCCATACAGCCACTTTATTCTTGTTTTTCGTACAAATAATTTCCATTATTTTTTGGTCTATTTTTACTGGAAAAGTAAAATTTTCTCCCACAATGCCAAACACGTCCTCACAGTGAATGTTTGCTACAGGGAAAAAAAGAAACAAAGTTATTTGAGCAATTGTTTTATAAACCGTTGCTTGGCTAATGTTGTATCCATTATCAGATACATTCCAATTTAGGTTAGAAGCACATCACAATGTTGCAAAGTAAGGCATGCCTCAGTTAAGAATTATCCAAACTCAGCCTGTCTGCACAATCACTTGACAAGCATCGCAAAGGGATCCAGTTTCCACATTCCGGTCCCAGGTAGAATCACTGTCCTGATCTTCTTCCCTATCCTAAGCTCCTCTATCCTCAGCACTTTCCCTCTGTTCACTTGATTAGGTCTCCTGGCCATGGTCTGGTGAAAAAGATTAAATGAAGAATTGTCACCAGCAAAAGATTAAATGAAGAATTGTTGTCACCAGCAAAATCTATCTCAGCATCTTGTTGCAGAATGCCCAGACTGAAGGTCCTGCTGAGCAAATAAACTTCAATTTTTCCAGTATGAATATTCACAGTTGGTAAAAAGTACATTTCGACACAAAATTGCTAGTTGGTCCAAAGCACCTGCTCTGAAATCATAGGGATTCTAGGCATTTCCCTTGGAAATGTCACTTAAGAAATTTTATTTCACAGACAATGTATGTGATATAGCATTCCAACCTCTGAGATCTAGCAGAGCTGCAAGCAGGAAATTGGAGCTGTCAAGAACCTTAACTGCAATCAGTTTTGAATCAATTACATTCTGCTAAAAACACCCAGACATTCAATATAAATAATCAGAAAAGAAGAATAAGAGATTTTTCCATAGTCTTTATTAAAAACAACTATATGTGCCAAAAAAAAAAAAAATTACTGATCTAACAGATGAGACAAAATTTTTCTGTGGAGAAGGGATTCTGCAAACCATTAGCTCTCTGTGTCCCCGCTTCAGCCTTCAGCAATCACCTTGCATTTCCAGGTAGCTCTGAACGGCTCTAAAAAAACTCACAAGACTGCTGCCATGACATAGACAAAAACATGTCAATACTGAGCTCAAGTTACACTTGCATTAAGGACTCGATTCTGCTCTATGGTAGCTAGTAACTTCTTACTACTAAGTTGACAGAAGGGCACAATTAAGATATAAATGAGGTCTCACATTAAGGCAAGATTCCCCATACACACCATGGGAAAATTTCCTTTAAACAGTAACTGTATCCAGTCTCTAACATTCTGTGATTCTGTGTGTGAAAGAAATATCTCAGAAGTCTACTCTTCAAGCCAACTGCCCCCAACTGACAGCTACTATTTTGGGTTTGTTTTAGTTTGGCTTTGATTCCTAAAGGGCATCAAGTCATGAACTCACCATAATCCCTATGTCATCCTATGTTTCCCTTGCTTCTCGTGTCATCATCGTGTGAAAACTTACTACTGTTCATAAATCAACGTGAATAGTACAGCTTTATCACATCAAAACAAGAAATTGCTTCCCTTCACTGTCCAGAAAACAAACTATAGCCCATCTTGCTCCACATTCTATCTCCTTTCCATATGAAAGCAGCCAGGAGGTCAGCCAGGCCAGTCATTAACAAGATTAGGTTCCCCATGACAAACAACAATGCTCCTCAGCACACTAAGTGTCCTGCTCTTCTGCCTGGTGCCTTACCACAAAAACAAAGACTTTCTCAGACAGGAGACTGAAGGCAAGCAATGGGAAACACACTTCTGCATGCTTCAGTACAGAACTGCACACACAGATCTTCTCCCTGCCTTACTTCTCATGGATTATCCAATTGGTTTGCAATTTACCCATGAAAGTACTCTTCTCGTGCCATTACAGTTTCTATTTCTTGTTGTCTGCACTCATGCTGTGGCCTTTTCCAGACACCAGAACTGTAAAAGTAAACAGGGTAGAGAAGGCTCAGCTATCACTCCCACATCTTTTCAACACAACCCACCTGCCTTTCTTTGTTTTCTATCCTGTTCATGTCTCGCTTACTCCTGCTGCTCCAGTATGAGCATCTCTTTCCACCCATTTCAATTAACGATTTCCAGAAAATATAAGAACTCAGGAGCTCTAACATTTGTGTTGGGAGACCACAAGAAGGCAGGGTGCTGGGCAAGATGAAACACTTGTGATCCAATGAAGACTGGAGTCTTGCTAGTGACTTTTGTTTCATAAAGACATGTTCTAGGAGTATATTTTCCTCAAAAAGTCATCTCTCAATGACTAGGCACCTATAGTATTCCTAGCACAATGAAAAACTCCATGCTCTACCCACTGTGAAATTCTACCTCTCCATAACTTGGCTCACAGACACAATCAAGCAGTGGTGGCTTAACATCACCATGCATAAGCCAAGCCACCGTGGCTGCTCATAAGAGCAAGGTAACGTGACTCCATTGTGGAAGGAAAGCAGACATCTGCTGGGGACTAAGAACATGAGCAAGGACAGCCACCACTGCTCAGACAACCGCCAATAACTTCCTAAGCCTCAGTGTTGATGCATGTAAACTCTCCATGTCTTTGCTCTCTTTCATTTAGTCATAAGAGCTAGGCTGGAGTTATAAGGGCAAGATTGTTTCTTCTTCAAGCCCAGAAATGAGACTGGAGGAAAGCAGAGCTGAAAAGAAAACACATTTTCCCTCCACAGCTTCTGCTTGGCATGCAGGAGTACTGCCCTGTTCAGCGCTCTCTCTTCTTGCTGGCTGGTGAAGCAAAGGCTTGGCAGCATGGACCTGCAGAGTTCCTGCCCAACTACCCTCAGGGCTCCCAAGGGCAAGACAGGGTAAAGGTTATCCTTTCAAGATAACCATCATCTCCTCCTGCCTAGAACCAGGAATTGGACCCTTTTACTTCCCTACTTCACTGCTCTAGTGGAAATGTGAAGAAACCTCCCACTCAATGTTGTCAGCTTCCTTTTTTCAAGGAAATTATACGTCATACAGAAATGTTGCATAAGATCTCCACCATGTATTTTTACGCTTCTAAAGAAAGCATGTGTCATCATATGTTTTCTAAATTTCCAAGGAACCCTTGCCCCTCTTTTCTACTTCATTTTATACAGAGACAGATTTCCCATTTCACAGCAGTTAACTTCTCCGCTGTGAGCAAAGAGGGAGAAGTAACAGCCAAACACTTTCTCATCCACTCTTTTTGGAAGGCTAGAAACAAGAATGTTTGTCTGCTTTCTCCTTCTCTTATTGTAGCCTATTATTCCGAGATAAAGTTCATACAACAAAGTAGTGCTGTGCTAAGGCCTTCAGTATTCTCTACAGAAACTGCCAGACTACATGCTCCTGTATCCCCTTCAACACACTCCCAAATTCTTCTTCTGTTCCCACTTCTCCAGCAGCCAGATACCTCTGCTTACACAGCCTTCTCATCCTACCCATGACTCAGAGCCACAGTCAAGCATTCTGCCTACCATGCATCAGCTGAACCATGACAACAGCATGGGTGCACAGATTTGGCCTGCAGCAAACAGCAAGCCATGAATCTTAGCCTGGCTTGCAGTACATGAAAACATATCAGACGTTCTCATGTTGTACAATGACTGAGCTAATGCATGTAATCCGTAACTCCACGCTAACTGAATCATGTCTCTGAATGCAGAGCTTGGACTGCAGCCTACACAAGACAAGGCACAGTCCTTCACTCACAAGGTAACAGGTCACCCATACAACCTAGTGAGCTATACTTGAGTTTTAATATTCACCTGAATAATTCAGACTTTTTAAGCATTTAAGCAGGCTAAAGGTACGTTAATGTTCTGTTCAGACTGAATATTCCATATATCAGAAACAAAAGCTTCATTACTATATTTGTTTACCTGACTTGATTTTCTTCACTACTTTTCTGGGAGCTTATGTTAGGCTTAGTTATTTCAGAGACCTTTTGTATGGTAATTCCCTTTTTATTTTTAATGCTATCATTATAATATTTTTTGGCCTCAAGCACCTATTTGAAATGCATATACGTATATATTAGGTCTACACAAGCAGCAGTTAGGTTCCCATATTACCATTAAGACATTAATATTCCACCTGCTGAAGCTGAGTAGAAAAGTCCTTACTGATTAGCTTGTAGCAAGGAACTGTTTGCCTCAGGAGCTGGGCTTTTTAAAGAGTGGATTTTTGTTATATTTTTTGTAATTTCCCAACTACCCCTTTTTTAGGCTTTTTTTAAAAAACTGTGAATTCCCCCAGCAACTGTAAGTAGCAGAGTTCCCTCCTAACCCTCAGAACCACTAGTTGCAAAGAACCCTGAAATATATGTTCAGTCCAGAAGGACTATCAGAGCATTCACCCATAGTCCTCCTAATTCCTCTACAGACCACAAACATGACCCACTTCCCAAACTTTAGGAAGAAAGCATTTAGACCTGTGGTATAAAATCACGGGCAAAAGCTGCAGCCAGGAAAGAGAAAACACAGATGACAGTAAGCTGTAGCAGAGTCCCAGGCTGTTGCAAGAGAAAATCAGATTCATGCAGGAATGACTGCAAATCTTACATGTAATACCAAAAGCAGAGTTTTTTGCTTGCATACTGTAGCAAGTTCACAGAGGGATGTGTTGCTACTCCTGGACAATACAGGGCTCACAGCCCTTAACATTCCCAGGACAGAGGTAGAGCCTTCCAAAATGCTGTCACAGACAGAGATGTTGCCTCCCTTCTCTCCAGTAACTCACGAGTCAGACCACACGTTCAAGACGTTTTTCTGTGTTAAAGAGATAAAATGCACAGTCAACTGAAGAAGAGCCTAAAAATTTCTTGCTAGTGTCCTGACCAGAACAGATCTTCTTGGGCCCAGCTGCATCATAATTCCCTCACGCACACTGGCACAGCCTGAAGAGGAGGAAGAAAGAGCACGCTCTGCTGCACGGCACAGAGAAGCCCATGGTAGTGTTGTCAAAGCCTCAAGTACGCGACTCTCAGAAGTACTCGGTGGATCCCCGCAGAGTTTAGGGACAAGCAAGAAGCAGAAAAGCTTGTCTATGACAAGAACTAGGCAATCCCGGATACTTCCAGGGAAAGAAGTTGAGAAATGGGGAAAA